ATACTTAATCAGGTCGTTTTTCTCTGTCCCCAGGATTTTCGATCGAGCAGCAGAGTAAGTAGTAGCTGTTGCTCCTTTGCTTTGTTTCCATGCCCAAACCATCAAGATATGACTGCACAATCTGGAGAAGTAGCAGCCGCACAATAAGGACTTTTCGATATCTGAATTCCAGATTAATGTGTTTGCCCGGCAAATCGTTTCAGAAAACTCATTGTAGATATAGCAGTTTTCTAGCCATGGCTCAAAATTCATGTCCATGGGTGAGCTTTGCCTTGGTCAAAACGGTTTTCGATAGTTGTCTAGAACGTCGCTGGCTGAGTGAATTCGCCAGTTCATATTTTATTGACATTTTTCATCACTAGCAAGCATCACCTTGACGTACCTGAACTCATTCAACATTCCACTGCTCATTCCTTTTCCATGAATATTATTAAGAAATAAAATAAATTCTTCAGATTGAGAAGTCACAGCTACGATGGTTTGGGCATGTGCTGCGAATGCCTCCAGAAATGAAGGCTAAGCAACTATTTCTTGCGAATCCGACAGGCAGAAGGCCCAGGGAACGGCCAAGATTAACCTGGTGCAAATATAAGGAAGGAGTCTGTTCGACTGTTAGACTCCAGTTGCGTTCTGCCGAAGCTCAGACTCTGGCACATGATCGCGAGCGTTGGATGTTCTGCCTGACGCGTCTACCTCCTCGTCCCAAAAAATAGGTGCTCTGATGGTGTCGTCATGCTTCGAGGGCAGATCATTTTTGAGTAGGACATTCTGACTGCAAACATCGAATCAAACTTCATTTTGCCGGTTCCGATGAAACTTACGAAATCTTTTCATGTCAGTTCATAAGTCGATACTTTGCTTCCCACGCGCTCACAATTAATTCATAACAGTATATCCGTAGAGAGGATGTCCCAGATTAACAAGTTCCCTGGATAAACTGTTAGCCATTGAAAAAGAAATACGAAGTAACAACTAATTTTTCTCAAGCCCTTTTCGTAGTTTTTCCAGTTAATTGTTCAGCTCCTTTTTTTCTATCGATAATTTCGGTTTGAATCCAGACATCTTGTGTAAGTTTACTTTGTCGTTGTATTTGTGTATATAATATATCGTTATGCTAAGTCATGCTTATCGTGATGTTAAGTCCGACTGTGACAGATGACCTTTCATACGGGGAAAAATTCTCGTAGTCAGTTACTCTGGTCTGCTAATTTCTTGATGAATACGAAACAACATTGGGTGACATTTAAAAAGTTTTCAAATTCAAATTAAATGCTTAGATTTCAATATATGATTTTATGTGATACATATAAGGAGATCTGAAAGCCCTTCTTGCGCCCCTGTGGCGCAGTGGACTAGCGCGTTGGGCTTCTAACTCAAAGGTCGTGGGTTCGACCCCCACCAGGGGCGAAATTTTACTTTTCGATTTCTGTTATAGCTCGTGTTCAACTAAAATTCATTCATTTCGGATTTGTAGCTGAACATTTGCTCGCTAATTACGACCCGTTTTTCGATTAACAATATTAAAATAATGTTCTTGTGCCATAAACAAAACAAGCTTTCTAGCATTTGTCTGGGAATCTCTGAAAATAGGGCAGTATTATATTATATTATATAGTCACAGTCACATTTTAATTAAAATTAGCTTACAGTAGGTACTGATGTTATGGACTAGGTTCAATACGTCTTCAGAATTACTTGGATATTTGCGTAGCCTCAGTGTCATGTTCTACATATATACCCAAACTTTAGCAAAAATTATGTACATGACATCTTTGCACTCTGTGAAAAAGGGGAGGAAACGCCGTTTTTGAAATATCTGAATAGC